TTCAAAATGTATGAAACATATAAAACATTAACTGATAGTAATATTAAAGTGTATAGTGTTAAAACGGACAGTTTTACTATCCACGAAGACGATTTGGATAAAGTTTATGGATATACTTATTTGAGAAAATGGCGGGAAGGACTGCTGAAATTTGGTGATGAGATAGGCGACTGGAGACTGGTGGGACACCCTGTGTCCCAGCACTTGGGAAGTGAAACTTCCCAACTGGAAGAGAAGCACACTATAACATTACCAACCCAACCATATAAGTATAAGTTTAATGAATTACCTGAAATACCAAAGATTAAGAATATTAATATTTCTATTGAAGATGAATGGAATACTGAAAGCATTTGTAAAAAAGTTATTAAACAAAATCCAGTAATTATTAGGGGTAAATTTCCGGGCACAGGCAAGAGTTATATAGGTCAGCATTTCCAAAAGATGAATAAGAATGTATTATTTGTAGTGCCTACCAACCGACAACTACAAGAAATACAAGATAAAGGAATAGAAGCAACAACATATAACAAGTTTTTTAGCATTGCCGTTCATGAAGATGTCGGAGAGAAATTACCAATTTATGATTATTCGCCTTATGATGTAATAGTGTTTGATGAGATTTATATGTTGAATTTATACACTTTGAATAAAGTTTGGCAGTTTATGGAAAACAACACTCATATTATCAGAATTGCTACTGGTGATGTAAAACAATTAGAAGGGGTGGAAACCATGACAAACTGCCAAGACCCCGCAACATACATTGACAACTGTATAGACACAATGTTTAAATATAATATTTTCTTAAAAATATGTAAGAGAGTAGGAGCAAAGGACAGCGTAGAAGGAGAAAGAAACAGAAAAATATTAAATGATATGTATAATGACTGGTGGGAAAACAACATTCCACGCAAAGAGTTTATACTTAAATACAGTTATTTAACCGATGACATCATGGCATCAGAGCATAATATCGCTTATACCAATATGAGATGCGAAAATGTAGCAAATGAGATTAGAGACAGATTAAACATAAGTGAGAAATATGTAGTGGGTGATATTTTGGTTGCCAGAACATGGATTAAACAACCAAGGGTTAATATCAATTTGAGATACAGGATTACAAAGATAGAAGATGATGAAACAGGAAAACAAATAACATTACGGAATATAGCAAGACAAGAAGATGAGTTTATGTTGTTTGAACCTATTGTAGATAAAAACTTCATCTATCCTTACTGTGCTACTTGTCATTCAAGCCAGGGGTCAAGCGTAAAGGAAAGCATAACTATTCACGAATGGGACTTACCCATAACCAGCAGAGAGTGGATATGGACGGCATTGACTCGCTGTGTTGATTTTAGGAAAGTTAAATTTTATTGTAATCCAGACTTTGATAAGCAAATGGATAAAAATATGATAATGAGATATTTTAAAAACAAAGTAGAAAATTATAAGATACAAGACAGGAGGGCAAAGAGAGAGATAACCGAAGAAGAATACATAAGCGCTGAATGGTGCTTGTCGCAGTTTAAAAGTAGATGCAAAAAGTGTAATACTTCGTTTAACTTTGAAACGAAGAAGGGAAAATTATGTAGCAACTTTACGGCACAGAGATTGTGTAATGATACAGGGCATGAAATGGATAATTGCTGTGCTTACTGCTTCTATTGTAATGTTTCAGCACATTAATATTTTAAGATTTATATTTTAAAATCTTAATTAATTATATGGATAAACAAAAAAAAATTAGTGATATTTATTACGATAAAAGCGGTTATGGCAGTAAAGCTATAACTTTACAAGATGCAAGAATGAAGGACAAAACAATTACTATGAGTGATGTAAATGAATTCTTCAAAAAGAATGTTGAGGAAAAAAGGAAAATGCGAGGGCAGAACAGTTTTGTTGCTCCTCATGCCTTTTGGGAATTTCAATTAGATTTGTTTTTTATTTCTAAAAATGATTTGGAAAATCAAAAGTTTAGAATTGGATTAATATTAATTGATATATTTAGTAAATATGCTACTGTAATACCTATTGCAAGTAAGCAACCGCCAGATGTATTAGCAGGAATAATGGAGGGTATTAAGAAAATGGATGGAAAACCCAAAATGATATACAGCGACGAAGAAGGTAGTTTGTTTAGTTCTGTTATTACTGATTATCTTGATGAGGGAAAAATTGAATTACACACCACAAGAGGACATCCGGCATTTGGTGAAAGATTTATTAGAACCTTTAAGGATATGCTTTTTAAAAGAGTTGATGCGGATGAAAAGAAAGGTAAAAACAATATACAATGGATAGATTACAATTTAGAAATATTATTGACATATAATAATAAATTAGTAAGTTCCGTTACGAAAATGACACCATTAGAAGCAAGGAAGAAAAAGAATGAGTTTGAGGTGAAACTGAATATATCAATGAATGCCAGAAAAACCCGTGTGTATCCTGATTTAGATGTAGGGCACAAAGTCAAGATAATGAGGAAGAAAGCGATTAGTGAGAAAGAGAGAACCAGTCATTGGTTAAGGACAGTCCATACAATAACCAAAATAGAAAATAAATTGGGGCAGAAGTATTATCATGTTAGTGATTTTCCCAAACCTCTATTGCGACATGAAATGTTGAAATTATAGTTTTAGACTAAAAAGGTTTAAAGAAATAATACCTATATATATTAGTGATAAATATGGCTGTATTTACAGAGGTTGAACAGGAAGAAATTATCAATGAATTCTTAACTTATATTGAACAACAGGAAACTAAAATAATTGATGATTTTTTGAGTGATAATGATAATAAAACAGAAGAAGAAGATGACAGTTACGGATTTGTAACTGAAAAACGGTTAGAAAAGGAAATTACAGAACATCATAAAATGATAAACAATATTGAAACGAAAAATTACATCCCATTAAAACATGCAATGATAAAATATATGGAACAAACCAACAACCAACACATAATTAGAAATGCTGGAAACTATTCATACAGTCAAAATACATCCAATTGGTGGTATTTAAGCTTTAGAGAATTTGAATGGTTAATCGAAATGAAAAAGAATGGCAACAGATGGGTTTGTAGAAAGGAAAAATTAGATGCAGTTGATTTTAACATATTGTATAAATATAAAATGTTTAGAAAAAGATTTGATTAATTATAAAAAACGAATGAACCAGACCTTGCCCATAATATGTCTACAACATTTGTGATAAAATTTATTGTAAAATAATTTATCATATTTTTTGGAATAATATTTTTTTAAAATTTTGTAAAACTATATTTTCTAAAATTTATATTTTAAAATTTATATTTTAAAATATGGATGAACTTACTAGGAAATTACCTGCTTTGAAATGTTGAAATTATAGTTTTAGACTAAAAGGGTTTAAAGAAATAATACCTATATATATTAGTGAGAATGGAAATTAATAAATTACCTGTTGAAATATTGAGCAATATTAATTCCTTTAAATTTGGCAAACCTGAGTATATAAAAATAAACAGTTGTCATAACGAAGCATTGAAGAGAATACAGACCAATTACAAAATTAAAACAACTGAACCACAAACAATATACAAATACCTAAAATTAATAAATGGAGGAACAGAGAAACGAGTTTTCAGGGGATATGATATTGAAAGAAGAGTGCCATTTGGAATGGACAGCATTGAAAGTATTATCAACAAGCAAAAGAATGAGTTATTAAGTTTAATCTATGAAGAAGTAGAAGATAATACTGATTTTCGAGCCAAATTAGATGTGTTTTTAGACATAAGAGTAAGGCATAGTGAGCGAGAGTATAAAGAAGGCATGTTTTCAAGTTTAAGCATAAGTTTCTGTCCTTATGAATTGAATGAAGATAATTACATAAACATAAATGAAAAACAATATTAACAAAGTGTTGAGTGAAGCTGTCAACCATTTGAAGAACGGCATTCAAAATTTGCACCAGTGTTTTTACTGTTTTGGCATACAATCATTTGGTTTCAGATTAATCATTAAAGAAGATGTTTAAATAACAGCATTGTTAAGATAATTTGTTATTATCTTAAACATGTTGATATTTTGGACTTTGTTATGTTCCTTGTTTGGTCTTTTGTTTGGTTTGTTGTTTGGTGGGTTTTTTCTATGAGGGTCTTACCCCAGACCTTGATATTTATTATGCCTAAAACTGTTTAAAGGAATGACGCCTTACTATGGTAGAGGATGAGTGAAGAAATGAAAACTTGTAAGCAATGTGATAATACTTATTCATCCGATTTGTTTAAGAATAGGATGAAACTTTGTAATTACTGCCGAGAACAAAATAAGATTAAGAATGATGAAACGAAAAAGCAATGGAAATTGAATAATCCTGAAAGGGTAAAAGGGTATAGGAAAAAATACGAAGAAGAGAATGCGGATGACATTCAGGAAAGAAAAAAGAAATGGAGAGAAAGCGAGAAAGGGAAAGCAACAATACAAGCAAACCGGCAAAAAGTTCATTATTGCGAATTGTGTGATTATGAAGTTAAAAAAGAAAAGAAGTCTCAACACGAGAAATCTTTAAACCATCAATATTTTTTACAGAAAAGTTTGAATGGTGAAAAACTGGAACGACCGGATAGTAAAGAAATTGTAAATGGCGTGTTGTGGTTTAGATGTTTGAAATGTAAGAAGAAAGAAATTTATTATGCTTGGTGCGACCATGTATCAAGTGAAGGACATATCAATAAATGTTGCGAGGTTGATTGAAATGGTTTAAGTTATTCTTTAAAATGAATAACTTGAAGCATTTTATATAGATTTTGGCGAGTGGTTTGATTATATGCTGGTGTGTGCGCGGGGCGTTAGCAAATGATGAGGTTGTTGGCAAGCTCTCTCTTGCTAATACACCCCTCCCATATCAGCACGGAATGCGGACCGGGACCCAAGAAGAATTTGGGTTGTCCTTGTGGCTTCCCCTTCAAACCCATACCAAAAAACACGTCTCACGCCGCGGCGCTTGAGCTGCCAGTATCCCAGCTCAGGCTTGTGGACAGGCACCCACTCCAGAGGCGTGGCCAGGCGTCTCTTGTCATGGCCTGGCCGGCAGTACTTTTGGCATGTCCCCTGCAAATGAGTTGTCAACCTTTCGGGGGCCACGACCGAAACTGAAAAGGAGGAAACCGCAAAGCTCCAAAGGTCAAACTCGCTTTGGGCGCGGTCTTCACTCGAACCCAACCAAAGCCTGGTTCACCCCGTGCCTCCAAAGGAGATCTCACTCGGCACCTGTGCGACGCGACGCGACGCGAATCCTATGCCATCGGTCGCCTTGTCGCTTCGCGACAGGAAGTAGCCGAAGGTCTGCTCCGTGAGGCCGTTCCTTGGAGGTTTTTGTGCTCGAAAGCATGCCAACTCAGGCAGCCGGGTCGCATCTTGGACATCTGGCCAAAGAAGCCTGGCAAGGGAAACCGAAAGGTCCCCAGTCCAAGTGAGCGAATCTCAAAATGGCCCGAACTCCGCCAGGTGCTTCGTTTTCTGCTTTTTGCTTCCCAAACATGGGAATTCGCCCTCTTCCTCCAGAGGTTGGTGGCGTTTTGGTCCAAAAAGCGGTCACGCGACGGCCCGACCTCTCGCCTCGGGGTTTCCGGGGCCCCCGGCTGAACTCGGGGTCCACGGCCAGGGACGCGAGGCCCAGGCCCAAGACGCCGTCGAACTCGAAGGTCATGAAGGGCTCCTGGAGAAAACCACATGGGATGTCATGGGAAAAAGCTCACCTTGAATTTGGCCATGAAAAGAAGAAAAAGACGAGTGGTGTTAAGAGGTGGAATTAATTCGCGAAGGGCTGCCTGTTTCCTGAAGAATCAATGACTTGAGGTGTGTCTTCAGACCAAACTGGGATGTCCATGTTTTCCTAACCCGAAAAGGGTAGGCTTGAACAATACCACGCTTCATCGGACGATTGAAGCCCTGAAAAGTGGGTGGACACATTCAGCCCGCATGCCCACAAAAGGTCCAAGTGAAGTTCAAATGTCTGGACCCTTCTTTGTCCACAGCTCACAGGTTGTAGGGGAAGGATGTCACGGTTCTGACGACTGGAAAAATGCAAAAGGTGAGGGGCTGCCAGGCATGCTAAAAACCAACTTGAATCCCAACGCCCACAAAGCACATCATCTCAGGGGTGATTCAGAAGTCATGAGCATCTATCCCTTGACTGAGCATCTGGGCTCAAGAAGCATCCAGCGCTCATACACCCCGTGCCTGGGTCATCTCACTGGCCAAGATCACCCGGAGCTCGGTGCAATCCTGTGGAAGAAAACGGCAGGTCAGCTGGATTCCATGTGTCCAGGTCACCGAGCCCAAGAAACCGCGAACCGAACCGATCGGGGCCGATGGCTTGCCGCCTTCCGAGAGGCGGTGTTGGGGGAAAGGCACACCGTGTCCCGCACAAACTCCCCGGTCACCTGCGCGCGAGATCGGCTCTCAGGCAGAGAAGTCACTAAACTTACAACTGCTAAGTTCAAGGCTAAACACCTTCAAAACAAGTCAAGTAGTGCAACTACGAAGAACGAAACAATCAAACCTGGCTCAAGCCGTAGAACATGGTAGAAGCCTAGAGCCAACTCAAGCCGTTCTCACCAACGGAATGCGTCGCCTCGCCCGTGCCGAAGGCGATGTTCACCTGGTCCCGGCGGGTCGCGTTCTTCTTGACCGGGTTCCCGTCGTGGTCCAAGTCCACTGCGGAGTCGGACGCATTGCCTCGGAGGCCGAAAGGCGGGATGCGCTGCGTTTAACAGACACGAAGTGACATGTTCTGTCGGCCCGATTGCTGCTGCAACTTCTTGAGCGCAAATCCGGATGCAATCTGGAGATGCCCCATTCGAGTTATTCAAACCTCTCCAAGCCATCAATCAAGCCGTTCCCACTTCGGCGGCAAGATCGTGCACCTCGCCAAAGGAAACCTGCCTTACAATGGCCCAAAAAGGTGATGTTCAAAACCGCGAAGGGACATGTAGGGATTGCTCAGCCTGCCAAGATGCGGAAGAAGCGATGGTGCCGAGCACCTCGGGCGCTTCCCATTTCACGGCGCCTTGACTCTCTCACGCCAAGCCAAGCCGCAGGTTTCCGAGCGGCAGGTCGCGGAGGGAACGAAGAGGTGCGCGCTACCTTCCGGCTCTTGCGGCACAAACTGCACAGAGTTTGTGTGTTTGTGTGTTTTAGTGTTGTTGTGTTTTAGTGTTGTTGTTTTCGATCTTGTTTGCTTGTTTTCTTCCTTTGTTGTCTGATTTTTGCGCTGGTTTTGGCACTGAGCTTCAAGCATCAAAAAACCGGCAGAAAATGCGCAACTCCTTAATGTGCGAGCTTGGGCACCAGTGTCAAAAACAACGGTGAAGGACTGCTGCCTGGCACGGCTGACCAAGTTGAAGTGCTACAGCGACTGACGTGCACGACAATTGCAGCAGCAAGCCATATGAAGAAAAAAAACTCAACCGCTCCTTGGGTTGCCAATGTGGATCTTGCCAAAGTAGGCCGTCTTGTAGGACACAATCTTGTTGTTTCGGACCACTGGGACATACCTCACAACATGCTTGCACTCTGGCGCGCTCGAATCTGTTTGAGGCTGCTTATCCATATGTCCAAGGCACTGCTTATCCAGAGGGATGGTGGCCACAGGTCCAGCCTGCCGAAGGATGTCAGACAAATGCGGAGGCTTTCTCCGGAGCCTGAACAGTTCCTTCTCGGACAAGCCCTCTGACAGGTGCCAAGAGGGCGAAGAGCTTGATCATGGAAGCGACAATAGCCTCGCTCGAATGATCAGATCTCACACATGTCACAGATGAAGTCCTGTGCAAGAGCCCAATGCAAGCATTGCCAGAGGTCGTGCCAAGCAGCCATGGTTGACTTCGTGCACGGTGGGTGTTCGTGCGGTGAAGTCCAATAGGTACGGTACGCGGTTTGCGTAACTGGGGGGAAACACGAGCCACAGCGACGGCAAGAATTGCATATTGCTGCCATGGATGTGCCCCAAATTGGGGACCCTCAATGAACAGTTTCTCCAAGACACAAACCCCGAAGATGCCATGCAAGAAACCACGCGGAATCTGGAAAATGCCGCATTCGCAGCGCATCGTGCAACTTCAAAGTTCCAACGAAAGCAACAATAAAAATAACCGAAAACTGCGAAGCAACAGAAACAAAAAATGGTCGGAAACCAAAACAAGATTCCAATCCTAAAACTGGATTGGTTTGTTGGGTTCCATGTTAGGGTTACCAACGCCTGTCAGTGCAATTGGCAGTCTTGGCAGCTGGCTCATTTGTTCCGGTCACGAACGGTCATTCGGATGCAAGAGCAAACTACACGGGGAACGGCATCCATGACGTCTGGTCGCTTTTGGTTTCGTCCTGGTGCCGAACATGCTCTGAGATTTTGTTCTTGACGCACACACCTGACTGAGCGGATTGAGTAACACAAGCTTCTTAGCGCCTTGTTGCATTTGGGTTCGATAACAAATTGCAAGAAACATTGTGGAGAACTCATCCAAACCTCACCAATCCCCCACCGCATTTCTCAGCTGCACAGCCGTTGAAACTGCGAACCTGGTGAAACATGCATTGTTAACCTGCAATCGTTATTTATTTAATCCCTGGGCCCCTACCCACAAACATGTTGAGCCAAAATCTTTACGGCCCGAGGAACCTCGAAAACAATCGGTTAAATCGAAAAAGGGTTTGGCCACCTGAGCCAAACACCGCGCAGGGGCAAAGAACCAAACACGGAGGACCAGCACAAGAGCACGCGATGGCCAACGCGGGAGAACCACCACCTGAGGAACAGAGGAAGCAAAACAAACACCACCTCACGGGTGAGGCGCAATGGGGCGAAGCCCTTAAGGCAGCTTGTCATGTGCAACACAGCTTCAAGCCGGAACTCTTTTCTCCAAGACAAGGGGAGCAAATCCGAACCCGCTGCGACCCCCCATCTTCAACGTGAGGGCCTCTGCAGTCGCCACTCAGGCGCCCCCCAGTCGACTCGGATCCTTGAGCATCCTTCGGCAACTAGTCCTTCGGTCACTTCACGCGAAGGAGCGTCAGCTATGTTTGAAGCTGTGAGCACACAAAACGATTTAATCCAGTCATCAGAAAATTCTGTAGCCCCCGTGCCCCTGATGAATCCGCTCCGCGCAGCCTCGTTGTCCAAATAAAAAACAACCGCCGCCCCGGACAATTGTTTTCCCCAAAGGCGCAGACTGACCAGGAGCGGCAAGATCTCAAGCTCATAAATAGGGTTGGCCGAGGACTGCTGAAGCTCGGTCATCATCTGTGCGGGGACTCTCTCAGAAAAGAAAGAAACCTTCGAACCATGTTGGTCCAAAAGAACCCCACCAATGCTGCCACGTTTGTCAGCCATGTCCCCTTCGCAAGAACCATCCGTGAATACCAGCCACGTGCAGCAAACCGCCCCCGTCACCTCCACTGGCCGGCCTGACCGCACCCTATCCAAGATCACAGACAGAGCATCTTTCAGTTTCCCTTGAACTCGACAACGTCCGCGGGAATCACTGCAAGCGCGGCCCAACTCTCTGACAGCCATATTTGCCGAGCGTCCCCAAACGAAACTCTCAAACCAAATGAGCCTCCCCCGCAAACGTTCAGCTTCTTTGCGACTCAGCTCCCCAGACTCAATCACAGCATGGAGGGCCTCGGCCAGTTCAGTGCGCCTTTCTTCCGTGTGCCCCACGAGCGCCACCCCTTTCGGAATGCCCAGCAGGTTGACAAGAAGGCCCAAAGTCCTGAAACAACCATCAAACTGCATTGCTTTGTGGCCCTCCCTTGCGAAACGAACGCCCCATAGGTCCAGCAAACATTCCATGGAATAAGCAGCACTCATCTGCAAACCATCGTCGTCAAAGAACCCTGTGAGACAGATCCGCAGCCCTGCCATGGCCGCGAAAACGATAGCTGCAGACACCCTCAAAAAGCCTCCAACAGACCCCACCGCCCCAAAGGGCAGCGCATTTACTTTGAAGAAGCGAACCCCACCTCCCTTGCCGCGCACAGCTGGGCGAGCCAGTTCCCTGTCCTGTTCTGCAACCCGGTACTGTTTGTAGGCGCTTGAAAGGTCGTACGTGCGGCCGACCAGAACCGGATGGCACGCTTTGGTCTGGACGTTCAGCGAGAAGCTCACCAAGGCTGCCATCGAGTCCACCGCTTGAACTCTTAATCGCTCACTCATGCCACAGCAATCATTCAATCCTCCAATGGTGAAATCGTCGATGAGCCGATGCTTTGCGCCCTGTCGGTACAGAAACGCTTTGCCAAGAGCACCCTTTCCAGGTCGGAACTTCGAGCATGGTCTCGTCCCACATCACATCGTCCAGCTCCGTCCATTCATCAGCTTTCAAGCTTGACTCTGCTGTCAAAGACTCCGGTCTTCGGTCTGCCAAATATGTGTCACTGTACCCCAGCGACGCAAGCATCTCTTTCACAAAACACACTTACCTGCAAGCACTGGTTTTGCATGTCCAGGCAGGGAAGCATGCAACTCTTCCTCCTTGGCAGCCAGTTCCTCTTGCCGACTTAACCAATGCTCAATGAAACTCAGACGTTTGCCAATGATCTCCAGAGCCGGACCACGCCTGGATCCACAAATCCGTAGCTGTTCATCACACTGTGCTGGGACGATATCCGTCAGGCACCGACTGCCCCTGGGCAACGACTGCCAAGGCCAATCCAGAGCTTGGCTTGCCCTCAGGCAAGGATCATAGCAGTCGTTTCAGACCTTACCCAGCGCGCGCTCATGTTAGTGATCTCCGCTTTCAGCTGCGGAGCCACCCAGCACGCAGGCCTTGGCCTCAGTCTAGCCTTGCAGTCACATATCAGCCAGGAACGCACAGACCAGGTTCGATCCCTGCTCAGCCCGCCAATCACAGCCCTTACGCCGCGTGTTCGGCGCCAGGCCTGCAATGCCCAGGCCATATGGCCCTGTCCGCCTATCTGAGCCCTCTTCTACTGCTCAGCTGCAAGCCACGCTGAAGGACAAGTGTGCTGCCGAATGGGTTTTGACACTCAAATCCTGCGTCGCTAGCAGCATGCTGGCGCACGCCCGCAGATCCTTGTCGAAGCATCGCTGCGGAAATTTTCGGGGGGCACGCTGTCGCAGTACCTCCGCGCCATCCGCCTTTTTCTCACCTTTGTAAATCAGTGCGTGGGTGATTTGATGAGCCTTACCCTGGCCCATCTTTCAGATTTCATCGCAGGCTGCCATGTGTCTCAAGGAGAGGACCGCACGGCACTCAAGCGCAGTGCCATCATGATGAGCAAGGCCCTGTCTTGGTTCGCGCGCATTGGGCAGATATCAAGCCTGCTAGACTTGATGGGTAGCTATGACCAGCGCCCTTTCGCCCACGTGCGCGCCATAGTAGGCTGCCAGCAAAAGCACCCCGCCATGGATCACAACACACACACGTGAAATTGGCCGGATCTTGGACCGGCACAGGATCGGGCAGCCATGCTGCCGCCGGCCTTGCCCCACAGCGGGCCTCATGCGCCGTTTTCACCATTGCATGTGCCAGTGGAAGCTGCCCTGACTCCAGCCTTGCCCTATGCGCACCGTAGCGAGCCAAGCGCCTCGCCAAGGCCACACACGCCCGCCCAGGCAAGCTCATCAGAGCTGCACCCAGTGACGTTGGCCGCCATTAGCCTTGGCCTTGACTGCTTCAAGCCTTTTGACCTAGATGGAGACACTGCGCACGACATCCTGGATAACAAAGTCTTCGAGGCCCTTCTCAGACTCTGCTGGTCAGGAGCCGTGGCCCTGATCATGCTTGCCCCGCCTTGCAAAGAATACTCCAGACTCAAAGGGCGGGCCCAAAGCCTTGAGAACCCCGCAGTATATGGACTGGATAGCAAGACCATCCACGACCTTTGCAGAGCCTTTTTTTCAAAGGAGGCGGTGGCATTTGGGAACAGCCGCCATCAGCCATGTCCTGGCTGGAAGAGGCCAATTTCCAAACGCTACGTGATCACCAGTGTGCTCTGGTGTGGGTAGACGCCTGCAGGCGCAACAAAGCCTTCTCCAAGTCGTGGGCGTTCGGCTGCAACAGTTCAAAAATACGGGCCCTGGAGGCCCGTTGCAATCACTCATACAAGCATTGAAGCATTGCAGGCGTGAAAGAACAAGGGGTATACCTCAGCACTCTGACCGCTGAACACTCCTTCCCTGGCCCTGCAACTGGCCCAGGTAGGCATAGGAAGGGTCAGTAAAACAGGCTCCTTCCGACAAGCACTGCCATTGCACTCCGATTTCTCCAGACTGGCGCCTGGCACCTTGCAGGCTCCCCACATGCGACGGAGCAGGAATGCACTCCTCCGCAGATTGGTGTTGTCCCAAACCAGAACACCCGCTGCAAGCAGTCGCCAGGCCCTGGCTGCGTTGGATGCATGAGCGCAAACTGGTGCCACGAACTGGCACACATCAAAAGCGGTTCTCCGGACTGCCCCCTCTCGCCGTCCGAAAGCCTGGAAGTGGCAACTCTAGCGTACACAGCTCTAAAATTGCCCTGCCCTTCAGACATGAGCCCCAAGGCAGGGCCGTGTCAGCCTTGCCACCCAGCCTTCAATGGCCGGCAAAAAAGCCAGACTCCGCGCTGCCGCCGGATCTGGAAATTTGTAAGGGCAACTGGAAGATGGACGAGGACGAGCCAGAAACCGTGCAAGGCTTGCTGCGCAATAAAATTGCCAATAACTGGATTGTAGAAACCAGCCTTAGCATAGCCGACGCTCGCGAAAAATGGCCCTTAGGCATTGCCGTAGGCAAGTTAAATGTTGTTTTTGCAGAAGGGAAAGAGCCGCGCCTTGTCTTGGACAGCACCGTGTGCCAAGTGAATACCAGATGCCATCTGCCAGAGCGCCTGAGCTTGCCAATGGCATGGACCTGGCGCTGTCCACGCAGCCAGAAAAAACAGT